ATATATATATATATTATTTTAGAATTTTATTTTATATAAATATATTTATTTTATTTGAATATATTGGATACGGTTTATGAAATTAATTTATGGTTTATGAAAAATATCGATGAGTTTCGCGTACATAAAAAAATGTATTATACCTCTAATAATTTTCTCGCAACGCTGATTTGCACGTACTATCCGCTTGGTTAGCGTCACATTTAATTTTGCACGAGCGATTTGGTTCCTATTCAGTGTTTCTATTCACACAGCGAATATCTGTTCCGCGTGTCCTAGTTTTACTTTTAAACTCGGTGGATGCTCACCTAGGCGATGAACCGGGCTGAAACGGACGAGGCTCAATGCGCCATGATCCAAATCACAGTTTCTTCGCCGAGCCCGTTCCCTAGCGAGTTTTGCTCTCCTCCGTAAACAGCAAATTACCATTAACGCTAACAGCGGAAATCCCAGAATGCAGGATACGATGGGTATGATTATGCTCTCCGGCGTAACTGAAAGATGTAAATTGATCGTGCATTAGGATTTATAAGTGAATTAATACAATATTAATCTTGATTTATATCTATTACTATAATACGTACGTATATAATTTCTCAACAACGTAATTGTCTACAACGTAAATGTAAAGTATTTATCTTCTTTAACGACGTAGGAGCTTTCAACAACTTAAACAATGTTTTTGACGGGTCATTTTGATCATTTAACAAGGTTTAACAAGGTTAAAATACTGATGGTGTGATGTTTTGTATATCACATTTTTGAAGAATTGTTTTTGATAACATCACGATTGTTTACACGAATACGTATCAAAATTGGATTAATCTTATCAAATTATTGATATGTCAATTAATCTGATATATCAATTTTATTAGTTGTTGATGATAATTGATTTAATAGATATGAATATGATTTTATATATTGTATATGAAAAGCTACGTAATTTTACTTTTATTATTTATGAGCATATAAGTATCTTTAATGAAGTACACATATACCACACTAGTAGTTCGTACATTCCTGTTCACACGAAGCAGATTTACATCACTAGACAAAAAGGGCATTCTCGAAAGTTTGTCAGTTCAGGGAAATTTCAAGCCTGTAATAAAAACGAAGTTGCTTAAACCGAATTAGTGGGTCTTATAAGATGAAATTTAAGATGGTACCGATTAGATTTTCCGTTCGTATTTAAAAGAACTTAAATCCTAACTGTCTCTATTACGACAGAATTGTTCGATTAAAACTTTTTACACAACGCATAATATAGTAATGTCGACATTTCTCAATAAAAGTGTCCCAGTTCTCTCTTGGATTAAGCGCTATTTTCTCAGTATGTAATACATAAAGTTTGATGTAGCTTTTACAGTATATGCTATTCTTCCTACACGATGCAAAGAAAAGCTTGCTTCTTTTGAGAACTTTTAATCAAGATAGCGCGCAACTTCTACAAAACGAAATACAACACAACTTTTGGCTATTACAATTCTGCTTTCGACTTCATTAAATTATTTTTGCAGTAAATATTTGAAAGATAAATCTTAATTTATTACTGCATGTACATTAATTTACATTAATTGTTTGAATTGGATTTATTTATTAAAAATATTGGTAAGGGATATTACTATTAGCACATATAACTTCTTCTAAAGATTATATGCGTCATATTCTGAAAAAAATTAGATATTCCATATTTCGCGTATTTCACGTGCTCGTCACGTTTCTTGTATTGTGTGCTTATCGTATCTCGCGTTTGTCGTAATTCTTAAAATGAAGGATATGTTTTTGGATCGATGTGTTCATGTTTTTAGTAGTTCTGTAGCTGCAAATTAGAGCTATTGTGGGGATTTGAATGAAGCACCGATTGCGCGAAGTCCAAAGTTTCTAAAGTTTTATAACGTCAACTATAATTAATCCAATAGAAAACCGTGACACAAATAGCTCCGTCATCTCACTGAAGTGACTTTACTCCTTGAAAAAGTGCTCTCTAGGTTTATTAAATGTCAATAGTCTATTAATTGTAAATCTCTAAAATTGTGTTTGAAAAAGAATTAATTTCGAATTCTGAAAATATACATAGAAAAACACGAACTGTAGACAAATAATAATTACGTAATATATTCAGAATCCTAGTAAATTTAATATTTTAATCAAGATTATAAAGTTGAAACAAATTCGGTTTACTTATACAAAGTCGCTTTTTCAATTAATTTTATAAAATAAAAATTTTGTTAAAAAAATTCTTCCTTTGACATAATAATGAATTTTTCTAAAATTTTTAATAAGTATGTATTTTAATATTACATTATCAAGAAAATATTTTTTATTGAAGATAACATTATTTAAAAGAAAGAATATAAATTAAGTAATCACTTCTTTTAGCGATAGAATGATATTTTTCTATGTGTAAAATTTTTTTGCTTTATAAGGAACTATCTTATGCTGCCAACTTTTACTGATATCAGAAAAACTTTTACTGATATCAAAAAGATTTTCACTAACTTGTTATACAAATCGAGATGGTCCCTTGTTAAACGCATCACATAATGACAATTTGCACATCACTGCACGATAGAGGTAAACAGGCAAAGCCTTTCATCGGCGAATGATGATCGGATAACAGTACTGTGTTATTGTATTAGCACATCGCTAACTTGTTAGTGGATTCGTGTTCCTCGTAATTCCCGTATAACGAATGGCTGGCATTAATTATATTATTAATTCGATCTCTCTCTCTCTCTCTCTCTCTCTCTCTCTCTCTTTTGCCGCCTCTTTAACTACTTATGCACAACTCGTTTGTAATTAACATTGCCGCGAGCGCGATCTAATATTTTATACACAAGCGTCTAATTAAACATCATCCCTCGCGCAGTTAATATACCGGGTCTTGAAAATGAATCTAGCGCGTCTCTTAAGACAACCAACATGATATAAGTCGCCGTACATTTCTTGTAATAAAGTAGAGCTTGGTTTCAGCATAATACTGAGAATTAGTATTGGAAACATGGTGTTTATAACTTACCCGTCGGATATATCAAAATCGTTGGCCTTTTGGAGTGCGGAATCGTTGGCATGGTAGGTCGACCAGCTCTCACTTCGGCCGACATTTTCCTTTGTTCTGCAACTGAATGGAAATTCACCTTTGAACTGACTTTACAAACCTCGATATACCTACATTTTGATTCCTATTCGTAACATCTATTCTGTCAAATGCACTATAATTGAGAGAAGACGAAATTAATAGAGAATAAAGCCTAATTTTAATTTATACAAATTCTATTTTATTTATTTAGTTTGTCTTTTTTCTTATATTCTATAGTTATATTACGCGTAGGTAATAGAGTTACCTACAATCAGTTACAGAACAATCAGGAAGGTCTTGTTGCGGAACATTTCATTAATATATTGTATATCGCTGTCATTTCTGATGAGTGCTTTGACGACTTGTTATATCGGGAAACTGAATGACGAACGATTTTTATCTTTCTCGCATTGGAATGCATGTTGGTTCGCTCGTGACTCAGCGAGCTTGGAATCGATAGCTAGTACCCGTAGCTCCAGTTTCAACGTGCGATTTGCACGCGCTGGGAATCAGTTGGCGATGTTAGCGCCTCGTCAGAAACGTAAAATTGCTGCAGAACATAGAGAATCTTCAGAAGAATCAAATTTCTCTGCGTTCCATAGTTGGATTTACCTTTGGGATTCAAATTATTTCGCGAAGTAGTGAACAAACGTGACACGGAATATTTGTACGCGTTATAGTCGAAACAGTATATATTTAACGGATATTATGTAGAAAAAGAATAGACTATATTTTTACTGTATAAATTATTTTACATAATAATTGTTTTTAATAAAAATTGTAATTGAAATACAATGATTACGTTATATAAAATGAACGAAAGATCTTGTAATATATTTGATCATACCGACGTTTTAGCTTCATTATCACTTTCCTCATTAATATTTAATGCGTCTGTCTCAAGGGATAAAGAAAATATGAGAAGGGTTTTCCCATATGCGGTGTATAATTCACAGTCACCGAAGCGCGTTATCTCTGTATCTTTTTCTTAGTAATATTAAAAGCGCCTTAATGATATCAAAAGAGCTGTTTAAAATACAAGAGACTTTTCAGATTCAGTTCCTACTTTTGTGTTTTTACCGAATGTTGATTTTGGCAAATAAGTTATTGTGAGAAGTGTAAATAAATATTTGTGAGAGTCTTTTATCTAATAAAAAAAAAAAAAGTCGAATATATATAGTTATTCTCGATTTTCGAGATATTCTTTCCGTAGTCAAACTTTTAATTTCTTTAAATCTCCCTGCAGACACATTCCGAATACTTTTTAAGTTCGACACTCCTTCCGTGTTTTTTTTTTAAGTCTAGAACAATTGCACGAACGCTCATTGTACTGTCTCATGAGAAAATTGACGGTGCGGATATTGTCTGTGGTCGAAATATAGGTGTAATAACAGCGGACGATAGATTATCGAGAATTTGCGATATCGCCGGACGTCAGGGGCAGATAATGCGGGATAATGCGCGCACGTAAAGGCTTTGCCCAGCTGGTGTGGTTAGGGCGCAGCACAAATTGCGAAATGCAGTTAATCTCTTGTGGCGGTACATCGATTCCTCACGAAATCGAATCCATTTTATACGTTGTCGTATTATTGTTAAACTTTATTAATTAGCTTTCGTGATACATTTGAATCAAATTAAAATCAAATGTTCGCACATTTTATATGAAATAACTAATCGTTTGATCACAATTTGGAATCAGCCAGTCATCGAGCATCTATTACTTTTCGCCATCCCCAAGTTGCGATAGCAGATAAAATTTTCATTATTCTCTCGATATCTTCCATAGGACTCGACGCATCTTTCCCTGATCGATTTTATTCGGCTTTTGTCAGTCCACCCTTATATTTTTGCCGTGACGGTTTGTCGAATATTGCTATTATAAATCATTTCGGGATACCTTGCTTAGACATGAAAAAAATGTTGACCGAATATATACAATAATCGCGAAGGAAAAGGAAACCGTTATCTTGAATGAAAAATAGCTTCGTAGGCAGGTGTTTTTTGTTACGCTCAGGGGAGTGCCTGATCGTTTACTCAAGCCTACGCGATAGGATGATCTGAATTAGAGAAAAAGGAAAAAAAATTGCCATCCTCTAACATAGAAGTAAGGTTGTGGACTTCTCGATTGCAACAGATGATAAAGAACGGCATTATTTATGAAGACAGAATTTATCTGAAGACTCTAGGAAAAAGGTACTTTTGAATGATGACACTGGAAAGGGCTGCGTAAATAACTATATCTTTTCAATATCTAAAAAATATTTACTGACAAAATATAGAGCTTAGGATGTTTGGCCGCGCAAATCCAGGATATAAAGTTCAAACTATTCTAAAGAAGAATAAAATCGATTTATCAATCCGCTGCGTGAAAACTTCCTGTTTTAATAAAACAGTGCATTTTGAGATATCGCCGCTATTTCAGACGTCGATAGCACTTTCGTGCGTTGAGCTAAATTGTCCTATCAAGTCCTATCATTTTAGTCTTTTAGTAGAAACACGTCTTCTCCTCTTAGTGCATGTTCGGGAGAGCCTACGAGATTTTCTGGTTGCCAGAAAATGATAGTTACGACGTGCCTGTTATCTAAGTAGCTCGGCTAATCCAGTGTGAAAAATCTCTTTTTACAGAATATGAAAGAAATAATCAACCCTCTTCAAATCTCTTGGCGTTATATCAAGAATTTATCGTTCGTATCAAGAAGCAAAATTTTATGAGAGAATCTTGTGATTGTTGAACAGCTGGTCTTCCCCCAAGGAATTGTATGTATATTTAAAGAATAGAACGTGGGAGAATAATCTAGTTACGTTGGTTAAATTTTTCACGATCTCTCAACTCTGTCTTCGTGAGAAACGTTCGGAAGAGATCCTTTCGTCCTATCAACAAGTTTTCAGAAGTTCTTCTGCAATAGAGTCTATATATTATCACGCACGTTTCTCGACTGCCCGTCGCGTAAAAGCAAGCGCAGCTTAACAGCTCTATCTGCATTTCCCACATTTTGGCACGCTATCGGAATACAAGCGGTATATACGTAACGTACATGGCCGCAGGAAGTTGGTAGTCCGTATTACCTCAACATCATGGAATGCCAAGGTATTTACGTCGCTTACGTATACGAGTACGTCCGTATACCGGTCTCGAGACAGGCGGGATGTTCGGTCCGGGTTTGCATACGACGTTTGCACCGGCAGACCCCGTAGGCACACTCGCGTTTATGCACATGCATGTACGAATGTGAGCTCAGGCATTTCTGTGCCTCTAGTTTACGTACACGAAAGACACACGCCGGTATATATGGGTGAGATTAGAATCGACATTATAACTGTCTAGCTATCTGTTCATCTGGCCGCATTTGCGGTTTCATCTTGAGATTTGTAGATTTGGATTTCTATTCAAATATCTCGAGAGGCAGGAGATTTCTTTTAGTTTAATGTAATTTCTTCTTGCTTTTGCTCATTATCAAATATCACAATACAGATATCGATAGTACATGCCAAGATTACATTTGCCTAAAATTTGATCGCGACGTTTAATCTTTGGTGTTATGTACTGAATAGTGCGCGGTCGATTTTATGGCGCCGGATAAAAGGTTGTGGAAAGAAGTAAAAAGAAAAATGCAGTCCTGTTTTTGTGGATGACTAATATAATTCTCATTACGTCGGTCAGATTTTATTTAGTCCTAGAGAAGGTCATTTAAATCACATCATTTATCATACACTCCATTAATTAGAGCAACCTCGATCATATCATAGATAAACTGCATGATTTATCCAGCCTACTCTCTCACCTTCCGCCACTTCCGCTCCACGCTCTTGTTATCTTTCTTTAGGTCACGAACACGAAACCCCATTTTGACCTTTAACTACACCATATCATTAAAATTAGAACTTAGAAACCGCTAATTTGCCACTTCTAAGTTTGAAGTTGAGAGGTCGCGGTCAAGGTTTAGCTAAACATTTCCTAAGTTGTACATGAAATTTATCTATTAAACGTCAGGAATGCAAAATTGTTCAATTGTTTACTGACTTAAGCAACAGCTTCTTAATTGGTTTGCTTCTACGGTCATACGGTGTCATGATGAAACATGGCTTCGTTAGTGAGTTTAGATCCTCTGTTCTCTCATCGAGGTAGTTATCAATCGTAATTGCTTCTCGTGAGTCTCATTAATTCTTACTAGTATCATCAGTCTATTAATTTCCCATCTACCGCGAAACAATCGTGACAACGCAATGTTGCTTGTTCATGCACGCTATACTCTTTGAAGGTTGGGCTTCGGAACATTACGAGTATAATCTTGTTCCGAAATTGCTGACACAAAACGATATGTAGAAATGTGATCGTGACACGTGAGGTTGGAGACCTAAATACGTCCCCGGCCATACAATTCCCAAGAATAAATATTTTTTTTTTTCTTTGCTTCTTTCACAATACCAGGAAATAAATAAAATGTTGCTTACAAAGATAATGTCTCCAAAAAAATAATTAATAGAGAAAAAAATATTAATAGCAGAAGTTAATTGTAATAATAATAAAAAAATATATAATAAAATAATAAAATATTCTTTTAAAACGTACCGCTAAATAAATGTTCTATATAAATGTTACAATACAAAATTTAAATATTTGGAGCAATAAATGATACATATCTTGCACCTTTAATTTCAATAGAGTTTTTTTTTAATCTTCTGAGGACCGGCATGTTTTGATCGACTTTTTTATTTTAAGGGCTAAAACTTTTTTGTCATTGTCATAGGGTTGAGTGGCGAAAAAGGTGGTGTCGCTGTCGAGTTCCTAAAGGGGCCTCGAAAAGTTAATGTAGTATAGTGACAGGTTAACAGGATTTTGTTATGCCTGTTAAAAGTAACATGCTTTGTACAAGACTAAAGTATTAGTTTTTAATTTTCAGACTGAAAGATATGTCGATAAGCAATTTATTTTTAGTTTCTCAGAGGTTAGTATGGAAAGGTATTTTTTTAAGAAAATTGAACGAAATGTTGATATAACAGATACAGCTTATTTCTCTGAAATAGCTCAAGAGAATAGTTTC